ATTATGCATTCAGTGTCCACATACTTGCGATGGCAGTTACAAAAATGACACAGAGAAATTGTTTTATTAAAAATAAAAATCGGAGAAAAATAATCGACAGTTACAGGTATTTCCGCTTTTAATAAACTAATCGTAAAGCACATTCATGGTTAACCTGCAATTAGCGTGTCTATTTAACTTAAAGTATTAAGTGGTAATTTAATTTAAGGTATTACATTTTGCGTTTGGAGTTACGAGCTGTTAGGTTTGTAAGCCAGACCTCTTCCCCATTCAGCCCGCCAAAAAAAAAATTACAAATCAATTGGCCCAGCACCCCGGAGGTCTACTAAGGCCACGTCAATGGAAGCGCGCGACCCCCTTACATAATTTCTGCGTCCGCCAGTGGTGTTATATTAATGTGCAAATGTAACACTTGTTATTGCACTCTTGTAGCTATTAACTCACTTTAAAGAGGCAGTCGCAATGATGCAGAGTTATATGTCCTATGCACATCAATCATGGTGTTACCAGTACCTACATCGATCCAGCACCTTAGTCCCGACCTCATACGCGACAGAACCACTGCTATTCCGATGCTTTAACCAAGGGAGATAGTAAGCGGAGTGTTACATTGCAAATGTTTCCAAGCGGGAGTCTAATTTTGTGAAATATTATAATACTGTAATTGTATAAATTGGTTCATAACCGTGATAGCTGGTCAACCATTAAAAAAACATTGCGTTATGTCTCTAACTAGCAAATGAAATTATATACAGTTCCAGGAAAAATCACAACATTTGTGATTGAAAGGGATTATACTATAAAAACAGGTAATCTTCAACAAAAGGTAATGGTATACTCTATTTTATGATATTTATATTGAGATATGAATCAACCAAGCTTTAAAAAAATTAAACGACCGCGGGAGATAAATGGATTTATTAGGATTGATATATTTGCTGTGAATAAAATAGAACAACCTATTATCCCATTTACACCGGATGGGCAGTACACTGATTGCACAATTAGATTAAATGTATTACATATTACAAAATTGCTGGATGAAACAGATGTAACAGATTAATGCATTTTGCGTCTAAGGTCCGTTTGGGTTTCTAATACTCACGTATAATATATCTGTGTTCCACAGTGAAGACCAAACTGAGAGTTCTCTTTTTCAGGCTTATTTAGAATATAATAGGAAAGAGAGATTCACTCATTGTGACTTAAGTTGCGTACTTTCTTGGTAGCCATACTTCTTTCACAAGAAGGTCAAGGCTGAGAAATAGAGAGATTAGTCAGAACTGCAAAAATGGCTATGCTTATCGGATAATACAGTCGTATCCACAAATTTCAATAATCAAGGTTAAATTAATCCAGGAGCAGCTCATGTAAATTTGTCAAACCAGAATCATTATATAAGACATAATGGTGAATGCAGTAAAAGGGGAAATTGTGTCAAATCAAACATTATCAACACCTTTTTCATGATAAAAATTGAGAATAGTTCTTTTAAAACAGGCGATTATGTTATGGTTCGTAGTATGGGGATGAAATGGGGTATTAAGAAATAGAATCCAAAAATGTGTAATTGTAGTTAAATTAAAACGTGCTTAGCTTTGGGAACAATTCATTTCATTCGCTGTTGTTTTTTCGGAAAATATCTTACAACATAATATGAGGTTATTGCGAAGATACCTCAATGTATGCAAGAAGACAGTACAGTGGGAGTAACGATCGACGCGTAGCAGAGATCGATGCGACCGCGTACAGTCTAGTATGATAGGATGCAGATACCCCCAGATAATAATAATAAATATTATCATCACACGATAATATCTGAAATTTTATTTCGTCTGTAACGGATAGCAAAACGGATATACGTGTACCATGCAGACATTATGAAGTCCGCTCCATCCGCCATCCAAGTTGAACGTACGCAAGCCAACCACACTCCACTTAGAACCCGAAGGAGAGGAACGGAAGTGAGAGCGCCGTCAGTGTTTGGATCGTGCAAGCCACCTGATAGAAAGTTACCATAAATGGGGATCGGAATTCTGTTTTCACTAATATTATTATTGTGAATCATATAAATAAAAACCGCAATAATTGGTTTAATTGTTTTAATTCATTTATTCAATCCGGTGTTATACTCCATGATATCATTTCACGGATTTGAACATTACGAAAATCGAGTGGTTTTATATTAATAGTAACGTGTGTTATTTCGTCCATACAGGTAAGGTGTTATTTATCTCTTCTAAAATGTCATAAATATATAATATAAACATATCTTTATCACTTTTTCTCGGAAATCTACATTCCTACATTCCCTGTCTCCAGTGTCGTCTCACATATTTCTAAAGGACGCTCATCTTACCTGCTGCTAAAATAAAATAGATGATTTTCGGGCGTGTAAAATTTAACTAGAACTAGAATTTTAACAGAAAATCAAATCCCATTTTTTAATCCGAATAATTGCTTACATTTGCATGACGCATTTATGGAGTCGAACACTAATTTATTTAGCTATTAGTAATGTATTTATCGTTTTAATTATTATTAGTTTCATTATAAAAAAATTGGCACAAAATATTGCGAAACATAAACAAGGCACGTTTGCTTAATTTGCTTATTCCGTGCTTTGTGAACTTGATTAGAAAACACTCCTTCCGACTGCTAACACTTCCATGAAAATTTCTACTGAATCGCCCTTTTCTGATTATGCTTTCATGGTTTGTTTTTCTTACACTAGACTGGCGCAGTCGGGAGATTAGTTTTTTTTTTTTTTAGTTTAAATAAAATAAAAAAATTCGCGAAATCACCCGACTGGTTTATTCTGCAGGAAATTCATTACTATTAAATATCCATGAAAGCACATATTATAATGAAGTGGGCGCGGAAATACGTGCATAATGAGGTCAACCTGGTAAAGGTCACCCTGCAGACCCAACATGGCAGCACGTTGAAATTCGAGATTGTTGTAGTCGTCGTAAATAGACTTAAAAAATAACTCGTACTAGTCATGGAATTAAAAAAAAATCGGCTGCTACAATCAGCCCACGTCTTCTCGGTTAGAGGTCAGTTGAAGAAACGTTGTGATTGGCTTAGATGATTGTCAATTAGAACACTCATTAACATAATTACCTGTTGAAAAATCGACGGGTTCATGCAGTGTCGATAGAGGGCCATGCAGAATAAACCAGTCGGGGTGATTTCGCAGTTGCAGGAGATTTCGCGATTTTTAAAAATTTTATTTAACTACAAAAACAAATTAATCGCCCCGACTGCGCTAGTCTATTGTTACACATAAGATATAATTCAGGAAGTATAAACAAAATGACATAAAGCAAAATTCAGAGTAACCGTAAGTGTTTTAGAACATAATTTATACCAATTCGCCGTTCCTATACATTGTTCCCTCAAGCGACAAAGCGCCTGTGTGACGTCAAAATGACGAAGCTGGATGAATGAGGCCATGTCATTCAACTGTATTTGGTTGGTAGACGTTGTTTTTATTGCGGGCGACTAAAATCAAAAAAAAACACTGACCATGCTAAGAACGCAATTCATCTACGTTATTTACGTTACTTACGTCGCGGATGCGTTATTTACCGCTAGAGGGCGCGACTTTTATTCATTACGTCTTTTACCCGAGTTACGTCACGGAAGCGCTTCATCGCTAGGGGAGAGACTTACTGAGTTGATGTATTGTGTTTAGGTCCTATGCAAAAGTAATTTGCATCAAACTTGGTTCCATGAGTTTACTCTGAGGCTCCTATTTTTTGTGCAAATGTTGGCAAAACTACAAACTTGGCGAATTTCCAATTGTATTTGCATATTTCTTGCGAGGAAAAAAAATGTATGCGTGCTTGTTTATCACTACGACCCTTCGTTATTACCTTATTGTTTCACTGAAAGCAAGAGTCAGCTGCTGTCACCTCTCACAACATAAATTCTCAATTTTTTTTCAATATTTAAAAAAATAATCAAGTTCATAGCCCATAGTAATCTCTGCACGTGATCTGGTTCAAAATTAGAGATTATAGAAATCAACATTCGGGAAACTGTGCATAATGTAAGACCAACATTTTAGCGAGAAATTTTATGGTATGAATATGCAGAGCCTGTTCAGTAAAAATCACTTCCAAACCACTTGCCTAAATCACCCCCCACCGTATTTCAGAGCCGCCATACATTACTGTAAAATGGCCAGCCCCCACACCTCGCTATTCCTTTCTCAGTTGTGAATTTCAGGTAGAAATGGTGTCCAAAATACATAGTAATTGGAAATTATAGTGGTATCTACTAAGTAAACAATTATAGGTGGTGTTCTACGTACATCAGGAAAAAAAATGATTTTTTTCGATGCTGTCGAAGTCGACTAAAAACCCTCAGATGCCTGATCAATTCAAAAATTACCCATCACAATTTTATAAATAAGTAAACGTACATTTTCATGACAATTTTTAAATATTAAAAAAGATAACCCCGCTCCCGCATCGATTTGCGTTAACAATTTGACCAGAATCTTGTTTATTTTTGTCTAGATCAAAAGGTGTTTCTAATAGAACAAATACGGTAATACGGGTCAATATTTCCCATTAAATGTGAACATGTACACTCAGCATTTCGTTTGTTTTTATTGTTCATCCATGTAGCATATGTTATTAAGTAATGAAAATTCTATACGAAAAAAAGTTGTTTACGCTTTTCAATGTGACCTTGCCACAGGTCAATTCAAGTCACACATACGCTCATGCGCAGTTGGTACA